CAGCATTATTTTGAATTAATCTTAATTAATGACAGGAATTTCAAAAGAGAAACAAAAGTGTTGGGATGAGAGGAATACGAAGAATCTTCAAGAACAAACAAGAAATACAATGGGCTTGTCCAAGTTCTGAAGAATCATAAGAAATGCTTCTGCTTGTTTTGTTCATCCCTTTTATTTGATTTCCTAATTCAATGTCTGAATGGATGAATGGATGAATGGAACAAATTCAGGTAAGCTGTGGAGAAATCCAACAAGCTAGTGTATTACATTAGTAGTACTACTAGTACCAGCCTGTTATTCCACCCATTCCCACTTGACTTCCTGTCAGGCCCTGGCTATCATCACCAGGCACCCATAGAGATGATGCCTAGAGACCACCCCACTGTCAGGCCCTGGCTATCATCACCAGACACCATAGAGATTCCTAGAGACCACCCCACGGTCAGGCCCTGGCTATCATCACCAGACCCCCATAGAGATGATGCCGAGAGACCACCCCACTGTCAGGCCCTGGCTATCATCACCAGACCCCCATAGAGATGATGCCGAGAGACCACCCCACGGTCAGGCCCTGGCTATCATCACCAGACACCATAGAGATTCCTAGAGACCACCCCACTGTCAGGCCCTGGCTATCATCACCAGGCACCCATAGAGATGATGCCTAGAGACCACCCCACTGTCAGGCCCTGGCTATCATCACCAGACACCATAGAGATTCCTAGAGACCACCCCACGGTCAGGCCCTGGCTATCATCACCAGACCCCCATAGAGATGATGCCGAGAGACCACCCCACTGTCAGGCCCTGGCTATCATCACCAGACCCCCATAGAGATGATGCCGAGAGACCACCCCACGGTCAGGCCCTGGCTATCATCACCAGGCACCCATAGAGATGATGCCTAGAGACCACCCCACGGTCAGGCCCTGGCTATCATCACCAGACACCATAGAGATTCCTAGAGACCACCCCACTGTCAGGCCCACGCTATCATCACCAGACCCCCATAGAGATGATGCCGAGAGACCACCCCACTGTCAGGCCCTGGCTATCATCACCAGACCCCCATAGAGATGATGCCGAGAGACCACCCCACTGTCAGGCCCTGGCTATCATCACCAGACCCCCATAGAGATGATGCCGAGAGACCACCCCACTGTCAGGCCCTGGCTATCATCACCAGGCACCCATAGAGATGCCTAGAGACCACCCCACGGTCAGGCCCTGGCTATCATCACCAGACACCCATAGAGATTCCTAGAGACCACCCCACGGTCAGGCCCTGGCTATCATCACCAGGCACCCATAGAGATGCCTAGAGACCACCCCACTGTCAGGCCCACGCTATCATCACCAGGCAACCATAGAGATTCCTAGAGACCACCCCATGGTCAGGCCCTGGCTATCATCACCAGGCACCCATAGAGATGCCTAGAGACCACCCCACTGTCAGGCCCTGGCTATCATCACCAGACACCCATAGAGATTCCTAGAGACCACCCCACTGTCAGGCCCACGCTATCATCACCAGACACCCATAGAGATGCCTAGAGACCACCCCACTGTCAGGCCCACGCTATCATCACCAGACACCCATAGAGATGCCTAGAGACCACCCCACGGTCAGGCCCTGGCTATCATCACCAGGCACCCAGAGAGATGCCTAGAGACCACCCCACGGTCAGGCCCACGCTATCATCACCAGACACCCATAGAGATGCCTAGAGACCACCCCACTGTCAGGCCCTGGCTATCATCACCAGGCACCCATAGAGATGCCTAGAGACCACCCCACTGTCAGGCCCACGCTATCATCACCAGGCAACCATAGAGATTCCTAGAGACCACCCCATGGTCAGGCCCTGGCTATCATCACCAGGCACCCATAGAGATGCCTAGAGACCACCCCACTGTCAGGCCCTGGCTATCATCACCAGACACCCATAGAGATTCCTAGAGACCACCCCACTGTCAGGCCCACGCTATCATCACCAGACACCCATAGAGATGCCTAGAGACCACCCCACTGTCAGGCCCACGCTATCATCACCAGACACCCATAGAGATGCCTAGAGACCACCCCACTGTCAGGCCCTGGCTATCATCACCAGGCACCCATAGAGATGCCTAGAGACCACCCCACGGTCGGGCCCTGGCTATCATCACCAGGCACCCATAGAGATGCCTAGAGACCACCCCACTGTCAGGCCCTGGCTATCATCACCAGACACCCATAGAGATGCCTAGAGACCACCCCACTGTCAGGCCCTGGCTATCATCACCAGACACCCATAGAGATGCCTAGAGACCACCCCACTGTCAGGCCCACGCTATCATCACCAGACACCCATAGAGATTCCTAGAGACCACCCCACGGTCAGGCCCTGGCTATCATCACCAGACACCCAGAGAGATGTCTAGAGGATTTCCACCTGTCACACTATCAGACTTACCGCCGTGGGGAAGAAGCTGTTCTTGTTATGTGATGATTTGGTTCGTAGCCGTCTGCCAGAGGGAGACTTCTGAATAGTCCGTTACCCGGATGGGAGGGGTCTGCCTCAATCTTTGCTGCACGACTCAGTGACTTGGCTTTGAACAGATCGTTGAGAGACGGCAGCTTACAACCAATAGCATCCGTTGCAGTCTGTCTTTATCCTTGAAAGCGTACCAGACAGTGATGGAGGAAGTCAGGATGAACTCAATGATGGCTGTGTAGGCATTAATCATCATGGGCGTTGGTCGTTTGTACTTTTTGAGCTGGCGCAGGCAGTACAGTCTGTGTTGTGCTTTCTTAGTGAGGTGATGTTCATCTCCCACTTGAGGTCCTGGGATTCTCCTAAAGGAACCATGTTAACACCATTGGATGCATCCAGTTCTATAAAATGGCATCCTATACGTCGGCAGTTATACAACCAAACAGAGCAACCTCTGGACCCACTACCAGCCACAATATGGGAAAAAAAATTGCCCACTGTGTCAGCATTTGGCAGATGACATTATGTGCGGAAGGTATTCTTTGGCTTTCACCAAACTTAACCCATTGCTGATTTAAGTAAATAGTGTGAAAATGAATCATCAGACCATATGACTTTTTTCTCCACTGCTCACTAGTCCAGGTTGCTTGTTATACCAAGTTATGCATTTTTGTGCGTAGCCCCGGGATACAACCACTCTCCAAAAAATGCCAACGCTGCCATCAATTCGAGCTTCATGGTAATAATACAACCTGGGATTTTTTGCATTGAGTAGCAATCCTGTTAAGTGTCTGTTTATTCCTGTCAGTTAGCTTCGGGTTGCGACCACAGTTCCTCTTTGCCAATGCAATTTCTACATGTTTGGCTTATGCAGACTTTTGTGAATGATGGCACATTCCAGGAACTGTGATTTATTATGGAATATCTACATAGCAAACATTAGTCCCGTGTTCCAATGGCACATAGTGTTTGCTAATCCATGTTTCTCATTTCAGAATGCAAATTGATCTCTAGAAAACCATTTTGGGATAAGGTTAGCACTGCTGACTACTTTGCTGATTAAAGAAGCAATGAAACGTACCTTCTGTGAACAAATTGAGTATCTGGAGCATCAGCAGTTGAGAGTTTGATTCCAGGCTCATAAATGCAGGAAACAAGGAGTTCTACTAAGACTTGTCAGTTTCACACATTTTGCTGAATTTAGCCTCTCTTGACATTGGTGAAATACACATAGCACACCACTTCACTAAAGTCAATGCTTTCATTGCGTGCAGTCTGAGATTCTTAATTAATTGGTAGCTGTACATAAAAAGACCCATTAAAGCCACTCACAAAGAGCTGTACAAGCTCACAACCCCTCCTCTTCCCCTTCATGAACCCAAACAGAATAAATACAGCCTTTAAAGCTATTGACATGCATCTATTATGTAAAGGCGGTGCAACATACTCAGACAGACCTATAAATGTCTGTCAAGGCTACGCTACTTACTCAGACATACCTATAAATGTCTGTTTGTAAAGGCTACGCTACTTACTCAGACATACCTATGAATGTCTGTTTGTAAAGGCTACGCTACTTACTCAGACAGACAGGTTATTTTTGCATGTTTGTGTGCCTGTGGTACAGGACATGCAGTACGCAAAGGAGAGCATAGTTAATTGTTTTTTTCTTCTGGATATGGTTAGGTTAATCAACAGTCCTTTGATTCACACTGACAGGCTTGCTTAAATGGCTTGACCAAATGGGGTTCCCACTGACATCTTTCCATGTCAATAAATCTCTAGAGATGAATAAATGACCAATTAATATGGATTGATTTCAATCTGAATGAGGAAATCGTGTGTATAGTGACACAGTCCAACAATTACATTTAGTGAATTATGAACTTGGATGAATTATAGATATTCGTTGTTATTTGTTGTATAATAACAAGATGGTACTAACATCAATGTAGCCATAAAAATGACACTTACAAGACCAAACATGAACAAACAGATGCCTACAAGACCTGCAGGTTTAGAAATAACTTCATTTGTCACCAATTACCAATGAGTACCTAGCAAAAAATGTGGAAGAGCCATGTATTCCTTTTGTCATACTTGTATGTATTTACAATCTGAGTTGTTTAGTAATAGCATTACTTATGAGAAGTTATCAAGAGATATCAGAGATATCAAACGTACACAGGATGTCATCTTCACAACACTTTTGCTCCACAGTGTGACTGAATATGGGTTGGTGGGAACAGCACATTTATCTGAGAATAATCTATCTAGACAGTACAGTCAGGTTGGGTGTGGGCCACTTCCCTATTTGGGACATTTAAAAATGCTCTGGACAGTCATCATTGGAATTTTTTGTTCCAGCTTCGATTAAGGGTTTTTGAAGTTACTAAAGATGTGAATATGGTAAACTATGGGTAAAGCGATTAAGTTTTATTTTGTAAATACATTTTTATTTTTTATTTAACCTTTTGGTAACCAGGTAAAAATGAAAACCAATTCTCATTTGCAACAGCGACCTGGGGGAAGCTGGGGATTGAACCCAGGACATCATACATACAAAGAATGCAGTCTATCATTGACCTACCAATTTATCTTCTATCCCTCTCAGATGAAGAACAGACACTTTAACACCATTGTCAATGATTACATTTTTTTCCAATATCCACAGTGCCATAATGACAGTGAAGTCAAAGTTGTTATTTTTGCTGTACACTAAGGCATATGAAACTATGACTAAAAGATTCATATAAGGCAGACGTACAGATTGCCACGTTTCAGTCCATTTCAACCTTCATATTTACAACTAAGAATAACAGCCCTGTGAGCGTTCCATCTCCCCCATTTCAGGACAGCATAGGTATTGGAACATTTGCATGACAAGTGAATCGATGAATCATTGGGTTTCCTGTTGCATTGATTGTTCACATATTTAAGAGCTGTGACTGTGCCGTCTCAGTTTTATTCTTTACTTCGGGCTTTGGAATCTGCAATTGGTGGCAATACACATAAACACACATTAAGTCTATAGGGAGTTGTGTATGATGAGAAAAAAGCAGTGGAAATACACACAAACACACATTAAACCTATAGGGAGTTGTGTATGACAGGGAGAAAGCAGTGGCAATACACACAAACACACATTAAGCCTATAGGGAGTTGTGTATAACGGGAAGAAAGCAGTGGCAATACACATAAACACACATTAAGTCTATAGGGAGTTGTGTATAATGGGAAGAAAGCAGTGGCAATACACATAAACACACATTAAGTCTGTAGGGAGTTGTGTATGACGGGGAGAAAGCAGTGGCAATACACACAAACACACATTAAGTCTATAGGGCGGTGTGTATAATGGGAAGAAAGCAGTGCCAATACACATAAACACACATTAAGTCTATAGGGCGGTGTGTATAATGGGAAGAAAGCAGTGCCAATACACATAAACACACATTAAGTCTATAGGGCGGTGTGTATAATGGGAAGAAAGCAGTGCCAATACACATAAACACACATTAAGTCTGTAGGGAGTTGTGTATGACGGGAAGAAAGAAAGCAATTTTGAAGCTAAAAGGAAAGATGTGCACAATTTGGACCATAGCAAAAAAGTTGTGCAGAGTCAGATGAACAGTTTTGAATGGCTTCCAAATTGCATCCAAAGAGTTAATCAGGGGAAAAAGAAAAAAGTTAAAGCATGCTAGAAAGAGGAAAAGTTTTTCAATTTTACTGATAGGACCATCTCCGAAAGACATCCGGTGGCCGTATAAAAACAACAGTGTATCCCCCTTGTTCTACAGTGTTTGACAGGTAATGGCATAGAGAGGCAGGCAGTGTTATGTGCAGAGTAGAGATGTCAGAACCAGCTGCATATTTAAGTTCCCTCTGACAAGGTGAAGCCAGGAAGCTGCAAAGAAGTGTCCACACAGTGTAAGGCACGTAACTCCTATTACCTTATTGTGACTCCGGCTGTCAACACCTCCAGTACTCTCAGTCTCCAGGTTGAATCTGCACGCTATCTTCTCATCAACAGCGTCCGCATAGGGGAATAGCAGACCTATAGGTTGTTTTGTCTCTGAATTTTGTATAGCTTTTTGGATTAATGTGCTATCACAACCCAGTACCATGAGATATCTTAAGTTGTGGGTACACTATACACCATCCCTATAATGAGCCCGCAAATATTGGTTCTCCTATTTCATCTTTCCTGTTTGGCTTATGTCATTGTTATTGCTATGTCATTGTGTATGCTATGTCATTGTGTATGATATGTCATTGTGTATGATATGTCATTGTTCATGCTAAGTCATTGTGTATGCTATGTCATTGTGTATGATATGTCATTGTGTATGATATGTCATTGTTATTGCTATGTCATTGTTTATGATATGTCATTGTGTATGATATGTCTATGTGTATGATATGTCATTGTGTATGATATGTCATTGTTATTGCTATGTCATTGTTTATGATATGTCATTGTGTATGATATGTCTATGTGTATGATATGTCATTGTGTATGATATGTCATTGTGTATGATATGTCATTGTTTATGATATGTCATTGTGTATGATATGTCATTGTTATTGCTATGTCATTGTTATTGCTATGTCATTGTTTATGATATGTCATTGTTATTGCTATGTCATTGTTATTGCTATGTCATTGTTATTGCTATGTCATTGTGTATGATATGTCATTGTTATTGCTATGTCATTGTTCATGCTAAGTCATTGTGTATGAAATGTCTATGTGTATGCTATGTCATTGTGTATGATATGTCATTGTGTATGATATGTCATTGTGTATGATATGTCATTGTTATTGCTATGTCAGTGTTTATGATATGTCATTGTGTATGATATGTCTATGTGTATGATATGTCATTGTGTATGATATGTCATTGTGTATGATATGTCATTGTTTATGATATGTCATTGTGTATGATATGTCATTGTTATTGCTATGTCATTGTTATTGCTATGTCATTGTTATTGCTATGTCATTGTTATTGCTATGTCATTGTTTATGCTATGTCATTGTTTATGCTTTGTCATTGTTTATGCTATGTCATTGTGTATGCTATGTCATTGTGTATGATATGTCATTGTGTATGATATGTAATTGTGTATGATATGTAATTGTGTATGATATGTCATCTTGTATGATATGTCGTTGTTCATGCTATGTCATTGTGTATGCTATGTCATTGTGCATGATATGTCATTGTTTATGCTATGTCATTGTTTATGCTATGTCATTGTGTATGCTATGTCATTGTGTATGCTATGTCATTGTGTATGATATGTCATTGCGTATTACCTAACTTCATGCATTTTTATTTTTGCAAATAGAAAGCTTATCTGTTCCCAACTGTTATGATATGACTGTATTGCATTTGTGGATGGACAGAAGTGTGCTTTTCATTGAGCTATGAACTTCTATACAATGTGAAGTGTTTACAGACAATTTAGATCTAGCAATGATCAGAATTAGTAGATCAGTAATTACACATCTCTATGGATGTTTTTCAGTGAAGTGCATGGGAATTGTCTTTCATTAATAACATAAAGACACTACACAACACAAGCTGTCATCCACTGGTTTTCATAAATAACATAAAGACACTACACAACACAAGCTGTCATCCACTGTTTACACTATGTTGACCAGTAATTGGTAATCCATTGAGTGCGCTTTCTATGTGGGCATTTTGACTTTACCAAACCGAATGGTTTGCTTAGACGTGGGGCTGAGTAATATTATGTGCTTGACAAGGTATCGGCAAGTGAAAGAGAAAATGAGAGTAGGCGAAAAAGAGGAGGAGAGGAATGAGTGGGGTTATTCCATCAAGTGTAATACTCTCCACAGACCTTTCGGTGACAAAAAAGTGAAAATGTAGATCAGAGTGGAATCTACCAAAAAAAGAAAGCACACATTGAGCAGGAGCAGAAAGATGGAAAATGTAATGTGTTAATTCCAAAATACCAAAATGGTAAGTAAGGTGTCATGGTTTGTACGAGTCTAATACAGCGAAACAGTTAACATGTATGACATGATTCTCCCCTTGTTCAATCATCAAATAAAGACACAAATTCCAAAAGTATTGTGTATCAACATGTTGGTCACCCCCAATCCTAACTATAACACAGCTTAAGCAATGGTACATGTGTAGACCTGCCAGACATTAGCTGTAAGGCTTTCGCTCTACCCCGTAGTCAAATGTCAGAAATCTTCTGTCTGTCGTAACTGAATTAGTCCCTCAACAACGCCTCTCAACCTTCCCACACTAACTTTGCCCACCAGGCAAAAACACTGTTTAGACGGCTAGACTGAAAACCAGCAGAATTCAGCATGTGTCCTGCCTCCTGCTCTCAACTGTGAGGACTTCTCAGCGCTCCATCCATGTATTCAGAGGAGGTGCAGTGTTACATGGGATGCCTTATTAGAAAGGAGAAGGACTGATGCACAGAGACAACCTACAACTACAACAACTAGAGCATGTCTTACTAGGTCAACATTGACTCTGATGTCCCCTGTTCATTCAATGTCACATTACAAAAACACAGGCACTTGTTTTCACTGCAAACCGACGGTTCACTTCAGGAGAGTGTCGGCTGTACCCAGCGATGTGTTAAAAAATATGGTTGACAGAACAGCACCATGTTATTTTTACTCAAAAAGTTGAAGAAAAAGCATTACTAATACGGAACAAGATTACAAAATGTCTCTTATCGACCATGTAATTGGTTTAAAGATCAGTCTTTAGGTTGACGTTTCCATATTTTCTTATTGTGGAAAAGCTGTTATATATCATTTTTTATCATTGAAAAAATATACATTTTTGCAGTAGCCAGCAGAAAACTGGGGTGTTGGTGCTAAGAAAAATGTCCTCTCTCTGTAGAGAGTGTTCAGACTGCTACCAATGTTCAGCCATCTTTCCTGCCACAGAACTGGATTTGTAATGTATGTAATCCTGGTCCTACAGAACAAATGGACCGCATAGGCCAATAGCATATTCTTTGCAGCATCAAAGTTATACGACCTGATTAGCCTGCACTGTAAGAAATTGCTGTAAAAATACAGCCGATTTCCCACAGTAACACACTGTTTTCCTGAATTACAATATTGTACTGTAGACAACTGAGAATGTGAGGCGGGGCAAGGGAATGACATGCATGAATGATCCAAACAGTCTGCTACTGTAAATTCTAAAGCAGGATATTCACTAGAAAAAGACAAATAAAGACATGTGTATCAAAATATTGAAAATAGGCTGCAATTGGTAACTTGTAAACAAGTATTAGTCATCACAGCAGTAGTTATAGCCATGTAGGGATATTTTACAATGGCTTTGCTATATTTTGTCTGGATATCGATATACGATATATATCCCAATAATTTCTCTCGCAACATTAAAGGGAAGAAAACCTGAACGCTCTGCCTGACTTTAGTGTACATTTGTGGCAGTGCTTCTAGTTGCGAATGTGAAGCTCATATCTCGGGTCAATCATTTTCAGCAGCATTTTGATTCCGACTTGTTCAACAGTTGCAACAGGGACCATATCTTTAGCAATGTGATAGGACACC